ACATCAAACACTGTCCAGCTGCAACACAAACATTAACACAACATCAAACACTGTCCATCTGCAACACAAACATTAACACAACATCAAGCTCTGTCCACCTGTAACACAAACATTAACACAACATCAAACACTGTCCACCTGTAACACAAATATTAACACATCAAACACTGTCCACCTGCAACACAAACATTAACACAACATCAAACACTGTCCACCTGTAACACAAATATTAACACATCAAACACTGTCCACCTGCAACACAAACATGAACACAACATCAAACACTGTCCACCTGCAACACAAACATTAACACAACATCAAACACTGTCCACCTGTAACACAAATATTAACACAACATCAAACACTGTCCAGCTGCAACACAAACATCAACACAACATCAAACACTGTCCACCTACAACACAAACATTAACACAACATCAAACACTGTCCACCTGCAACACAAACATTAACACAACATCAAACACTGTCCAGCTGCTTCCTGTTGTCACTTTGATCAGTGAAGAATCTCAAATCCAAAATAACAACAAATAACTTTAATATTTCATCTTTGGAAAGAGAAAAACACTTTCAGTTTATTTTCACTGTAAATATTTGAACAAATAAAGGATCAGATTTCAGGGGTTGACACTTTGAAATGAACATTAATTAAAGGTAAAAGATTTCCTCATGAAGAAATGTGTGTTTTGACTTCCTGTTTGGCTCTGGTGTGTTACCAGTAGGTGGCAGTGCAGCGTAAGCCTCGTGGTTTTAATACAGCAGAAAAAGAAGATATTATTATGCAAATATAACGTAAACAAAATATGTTTGATTATCTGAACAAACAAGCAAAACCATTTATTATAAATGAGTTAATCCCACTTGGTCTGTGTGTTCATTTGTCTGTTAGTAAAATATCTTCTGAACCAGAAGGATTAAAAAACCTCTTAAGAAGACATCCTTACTTGTTTCAAGATGGCCGCCTACACTAACCCTTTCTGACAAACGCACAAATAACTCAGTCACATGTTGTGGTAGTAGTTGAGAGTCTTTCCACCACGCACACTGAGCACTAACACTTTCAATCTTCCCCATGCCAGGTGATAAATCACAAACATTGTTTTTAAAAATGATAATTTAATTTTAAAAAGTCTGTCTCGTACTCGTTTGGTTTAACAAATTAATTCAGGACCATCTGAGA